AAAAAATAAAAGAAGAGGATCACCCCCCCCCCCTTTTTTTTTTTTTTGTATATCTGTCGATCTGCTATCAGTGAGGCATTTTACGGAGGAGCGCTAAGAGTAAGATCTAGGCAAGGCTTCGCAAAATTTTGTCTTTCAAAAAAAAAAAAAATGCGATTTTGAAAAAAAAAATGTGCGAACACAGGATAGAGATTCGATTTTCAGAAAAAAATAAATCCAGTTTCCGAGAATATGACAACCTCCTATTATGCCTAGCAAACGAAATGCTGATAGGCTTCGCAAGATTTCGGCTTTCAGGAACCAAATTTTTGCGAAATAGAATGGAGGTCCGATTTTCAGAAAAGAATAAAATTCAATAAATCCAGTTTCCGAGAATATGACCACCTTCCTTGCTAACCTGTATGCCGAGAAAAACAAGATGCTAACATCAGAAATTTTCTGCTATAAATGATAATATCAGAAATTTTTAGATGCCAATATCAGAGAAACGAAATGCTACTATCAGAAATTTTCAGATACTTGTTGCGTGAAAACGAAATGCTAATATCAGAAATTTTCAGATAAGACGAAATGCTAATATCAGAAATTTTCAGATAAAACGAAATGCTACTATCAGAAATTTTCAGGTATTTGTCGTGAGAAAGAAGAAAAAAAAAATTTGCAGAGATTTGACGAAGTCCTACTTGATTTACTAATAAACAATCAATCAATCACTCGATCAATCATTCTACAATCAGTAGATCAAGCAAGCTGGCTACTTGACTGGGCGGATCCTCTGATTGAGAGGTCCGCTCCGATACCAAACTGTTGCATACCGTAACGGTACAGACCAGAACAAGAACCAACCTCTCTCACAAAGTACAAGATAACACAGCGGAAGGCTTAAATACCAATGATCCGAACAATCAATGTTGCTATGCAGACCAAACATACATCATCATCATTCCATGGTGTGAAGGGGCCTGGCGCTCACACAGGAAGAATGCGCCAGTCCCCAACTACACACAGACGAAGAAGAGTCGGATTAGACGAAGAAGAAGGGAAGATGGGAATGTCGTCAACACCAAGTCTTCGGTACAGTCCCAAATAATCCCTCGTCAAATGTCCGAATCCCAATGTCGATTCTGGATCCAAATGTCGTCAAATCCCAAAGTCACCAATCTTTCTCTCTCTTGTAGTCTGCAGATACTGAGAAGTCAGGTAGCGAGAGGGTGAGGAAGAGATGGTGGACTTAGAAGAGGAAGAAGAAGAACTCTCTCTCTCTCTTAGTCCGGTACTAACCTGTGAAGGTGGCGCCCTGTTGCAGGTACATCGAAGACGAAGCTGGAGCTATGGCGCCACAGGTAAGTCTCCCTGGCCTCGGCCAACCATCGCTCTCTCTCCCCAACGCTTTTCTGGCTCCTACTAGCGCCCAGCGCTGAAGACTACTGCTAACGCTACTACTACTCCTGCAGCGCTCCTCCAGAGTGCTGCTGCCGAATCCTGAAGACTCCCACGGGTCAGCTTTTCTCGGTTTTCTTATCAGCTCCTCCAGGCTCTCCCACTTCGTGCCTCCTGCATCTAAAGTGCCTGGGAAGTTCCTATGAACTGCCTCCTGACTGCATGCAGCCTGTAGGGCGGCCCAGTCTTATATAGTGCTGGCCCGTCCAGGAGGCTGCTCTTGCCAATGCCAAAACGTGCCAGACCCTGGCGTTGAAGTTCAAACAAAGTTGTCTTGAAAACAGGCCCCAAATGGCCTGTGCTAAAACCCTGGTCTGGTGCCTAAGTTTCAGGGAAGGTCGATCTTATGAGGGCCTGAAAATGGCCCTCCGTTTCAGGCTGAAAAGACTCAGGGCCTGTAGGCCCTTATTTTCAGGCTTTCAGGCTGAATCGACACAGGGCCTGTAGGCCCTCGTTTTCAGGCTTTTAGGCTGAAACGAAAATAGGCCCTACACGTACAGACCCTTAGTCTACCTGGTCGGGCCCTGCTGGACCCGTGTGGTACTGAGTATGCCACAGTGCCTCACCAAGGAAGCTTCGAGGCAGGGTCAGACATGGCGGCCTGAAGAGCAGCGGTCATAGCTGCTTTGCATTGTCTTTTGCACAGGAGGGCAGAGCCCTTAGTAGTCCGCCATGGCCTAGGCCTGTGTGAGAAAGACAAAGAGGGAGGCCATGGATATGGTGGACCTCTTGTTAAGCTGGCACTAAGAGGGAACTTTGGATATTGATTCTGGTTCAACCACTCGTTGTTATTATTACTATTTTGCAGAAGAATAAGATTGGCAGAGACAAGGAGAAGAAGGAGAGTGGAGAGAGGAGGGGGATTTGTCATTAGTCTTGCTGGTGTACATCTTCTTCTTCATCTTCTTTCTTTCTTCTTCTTGGGTCTATATCTCTTTGTAACTTGTAAGTGCTTTCATTTCTTTCACAAGTGGGTGGCATTGTCTTTCTTGTGAATTCGCACTTTGTAAATAGCCAGGATCTAAACAACAAGGTTTCCTTGTCTTCCCTCGTAATGAGAATATAACAATAATGATTGAATAATCCCTCAGGAAGAACAGAGTCCATCGCAACAGTGGAGTGAGTTCAAACCCAAGAATGATATACACATGTAGCTTTCACAAATATGGCATGAGTTAAATCCTGAAGAGAGTTCTCATCTCTGTGGTGTAAATCCTCAATGGTGCGCACATTAGCTGTAATCAAACAGGTCACGAGTTGAAGTCCTGAATGGTAAGGAAAAAGAGAACTCGCCCCTATGCCATCAATGACAGTGGGTGGTTTCCGGAGAAACATGGCGAGTTCAAATCGCGAATGCCCTGCCCTTGCCCACCCCATTCACCTTCCCGCTCCTTCTCTACGCATCTGCAGCGCGTACTCCTTGATTCCCGTCCTGATCCCATTTCCAATACCCTTCCTCTGACCACCTCTCCTTTCCTTAGAAGACTTTAGAGGGCACGGGCCTTCAGAAAGCTGCCATCCTATGGTCTTCTTTCAGTTGATTTTATCTCAGAAGCTGACAGAAATGCCTGCAGAGCCCTTGTTAGAGACTGGAAGAAACTATTGCTCCCATAAGAACTGTTAATCCATGACTAATATGATTACAGTAAATCGAATACTTCGCCCCCCTTTCAGTACTCCTAATCATCCTATTTGTAATCTTTGGATTGAGGGCTCCTTTCTCAGACAGGCCGCTAAAACCTCCATTAGGAATAAGAAAATTGGGGCCACCAGAGGATCTCCCTGCCTCATCGATCTCAACATTGCATGTGTTCGAGATAGAAAACCATCACAAAGAAAATTGGGGGCACCAAAGGATCTCCCTGTGTCATCAATCTCAACATTGCATGTGTTCGAGATAGAAAACCACTTACCATACCATCCCCTTGCATCAAAAAGCATACACGACTACCATCTCCTAAAATTTGGTCACACCCCCATATTCGACATACTTTGTTGTAATATTGAAAAAATCCCAATCGAACTATGTTGGGCCGTCGCCCGGCCAGACACGCCCAGGCAAGTTGGGCAGAGGGGGGGGTCGCCCGGCAAAACCAGACGGGTCAAAAAAGAGGCAAGGATCCCAAAAAAAAAAAAAGACTTCAGGCCAGGACAGCACTTGGCCTAAGCAGTCAGAATTCGGTCTTAACTTTGGTTTTGGTGATGGGTCATCCAGGGGGGGTTGTGGGGTATAAACAATGACTGAAGGGCTTGAAAGGATACATTTGGACTCATGTTTTCTCATTTATTTTTATCTTAAAATTAACAAGGAATTTCAAGATGGCCCTCGGCCAAAAGTCGTTTGTATTGCAATTTTACACAACATATATTTTTTCGGATTTGTTTTCCTATTTTTTAAAAATATTATGCATTGGGATCGCCCGGGACCCTGCCAGGGCCCTGCCCGGTCCAGGCCGCCCGGGAGGGTACCCAGGCGACCTTCCCCCAGCCGGGCCGCCCGGGGACTAACACAGCAATTGAATGATTAAATTGATCATAAGCTTTTTCAAGAAGGAAAAAAAAATGGAAAAAGACTTCTTGTCATTTATTAGCTTAATAGCTTCACGGAGCCTTCACCTAGACAGACTACATTATCACAAATATAATTGAAATATTGTATTTGAAATATGGCTCGTGTGGGATGAAGGCTGTTCGATCCAGGGGGAAACACATGCCTGTTCCTGATTCTTCTGGCTGAAGCTGTGGCCAGAATTTTGTAGGCCACCCGTAATCATGTTGCTGCCCTATGATATCGTATATAATCCGTACCGCCCTTTTTAGGCTTTTTATGGATTCATATGACTACCCCTGTAGGCCTTCGCTTAGACATTCCCCCATCTAGCCTTGTTAAAAGTCTGCAAAAAAGAACTATAAGAGGACCTACCCTAAAAGAGGACAAATTCCTCCCAAATTCATTTGTCAAAATTGTCACCCATCATAACTTGCAAAAAACAATAAAAATAAAAATAAAATTTGGGGCAAGGCAGAGAGGACGAGAGAAAAGGGCAAACAGTCTTTAGCCCAAAAGCGCACCTGGAGGACATCGATTGATGGTCCTATGCACCATAGTCCTTGTCTGAGGGTCTTCACCTCAGCCTGGTCAACAAGCAGGTCCATGAGGTCTCCACCAGGCACATAGTCCAGGGCTAAATACCTGACCATTCAATATGTGTGATATCACATTAGTTGCATGTCATAAGGGCAAATTGAGGGCAGGGGGAGCCTATTGCAAGGATTTGAGAAATAGCGAGATGACAGAATCAGATTGCACAATCACATTGAAGCCAGAGAGTCCCACAGCTGTCAAGGAAGTAGCACTGCACCAATAATACACCAATGGAGAATTGTAAGACTAAAACCGAATGTCAATCAGAGCTTACTCTTGTCTTCACCAACATAGGAGTCCAGGCCCTTCCCCCTACTTGGCGCTCGGCGCCCAGACTACTCCCACACAGCTACTATCTGCCTAAGAATTGGGAGCAAGATGATGAAGAAGAGGATAGCTGGTAGTGAGAGAAATGCGAGATACGAGAGGAATGAGCATGCAGACAGCTCCATCGAGGTCCTCTCGTTCTTCTCCTCGAAAGTCAACATGGCGCTGGTGCTTGTGGAACCGTTCACGGCTTTGGAACCATACCAGCAGGAGCATCTGCGGACTGGATGGTGTGTTCCCGAGGCAGAAGGGCCTTTCGGAAGCTAATGAAACGGTATTCACCAATTCGTGGTAGCTGAGGTAGATCCCAGGGCTCGATCCCTAGTTCCCCAACTTACCTGTGTACAATACCTGCGTCAAC